TGGCTCGCGAGCCAGGTGTGGCTCTTTTGATGATTGTGGCTGGCTCTCTCAGATAAAATTGGAATTAGAAACTTAAGATTTTGTGATTTTCGTTCCTCCAATGACGTGCTGCCGCCGAGACGCCAATAAGAATCAATTTAATATCGTCCAACCTCTGGCATTTCGGCCCCCCTAGGCCAGCCTGCCTTGTCACCTAGAGTTCCTTATGTCTATGTCCCCAGACGGACTCATTTATCACACGCAAGCAAACAGCCCGTTCGCGGAAACTTGCCTTGTGTACTGATAAATCGCTCCAAACATCTGACTGATTTCGTTCATCAGACGGAATACTCTTAGTGTATTGGTTATAGTAGATAGCACATCCCTGACCTCTACACACACTCTCTTTCATTTGCCCAAAGTTAACCTCTGCAACAAACAGGATGGCTAAAAGAGAAAGAGATGAGGAGTATCGTACATTTCAGGACGAATGGGCCGAAGCATTCGCCTTTGTGGAGAGAGCAGGTTAAAATGGTATGTCTTATTTGCAATGGCAAGATTATATCGATGAAACGGTCGAATGTAAAGCGCCACTTCAACACACAACGTGATACTTTTGCATCAAAATATCCTGTTGGAGATAGCCGAAAAAAAGCATGCCAAGAGCTAGTGAGCAGGGTGCAAGCCAGCCAGTAGCAACTCCGCGTATGGACCCAGCAAGGTGACTTTAACGCCGCTAGCTTCGCTGGATCTTTAGCAATCAGTTAGTCAGTTAGGAACGGAAAACCATTCATGCTGGATGTAGCCAATGAACTTTTTGCTGATCTTCCGAAAAAAGAAAAGATAATCAAAGGGGTACAAGGCAGGCCTCTTTTGGTAAAAACTGTTCATGAGCATATCATCAAGATGGCAACCCACGTGGAGGAAACCCAAGTGAAAGACATAAATGCAACACCGTTCTTTTCCCTGGCTTTGGATGAGTCAACAGACGGAAGCCATTTGGCGCAGTTCAGTGTGATTGCAAGATATGCTGCTGGTGATACACTGCGCGAAGAAGGTCTTGCTGTTCTGCTAATAAAAGGGTCCATAAGAGGTGAGGATTTATTCAAGTCTTTCATGGATTCCGCTCAAGAAAAAAATAACCTATGGATAAACTTATCTTATCTTGTTGCGCTTCTTTGTGAACATTAAAATCGACCCATCCTACGTTTTCATTGCATTCTACACCAGGAGGCTCTTTTTGCTCAGATTTGTGACGGGCAGCTTGGCGAAGTGATGTCGCTGGGCATTCGTGTGATCAACTTTATTGTTGCCCGGCTCTTAAATGATCGACAGTTTAAAACACTGCTGGATGAAGTTGGAAATAACTATCATGGTCTGCTTTTGCACAGCAATGCACGTTGGTTATCAAAAGGGAAGGTCCTTAGCCGTCTTTCGGATTGCCTGACGGAAACCCGGACCTTCCTTGAAATGAAGGGCATTGAGCACCCTGAGCTAGCTGAAATTGAGTGGCTCCTCATATTTTCACTATCTTGTGTATATGACCGAACATCTGAACCAGATCAACGTTAAAATGCAAGGCAATGGAAATACAGTGTCATTCCTTCAACAAGCCGTGTTTGCTTATGAAAACAAGCTTGAACTCTTTATCATGTACCTTGAAACGTATCATTTACTACATTTTGAAAATTTAAGACAATATAAAGATGCATGCACAGTAAGTGAGCCCACTGAAAACTTTGATCTCCGCCAGCTAATTGGATTCACATCCAGCTTCATCCAGTCGTATAAAGCACGCTTTGGAGAATTTTGGGAGCACACTCGTATTTTTAAGTTCATCATCCATCCAACCGAATGTTCACTGAATACAGACGACCTTAATTATACTCCTGGTGTCTCCGTA